GCGGTCACCGGTGACCGCAACCTATTGTTCTATAATTGTGTCTACAAAACCGGTACTCGACGAGTTAAACTGTCAAACACCAAGCGGTCACCGGTGACCGCAACCTATTGTTCTATAATTGTGTCTACAAAACCGGTACTCGACGAGTTAAATTAGAACTATATCGATAAACTAATGTTTATGTACCTAATGTTCATGTCTTCGGCCTTCGTGTAGTAATTTAAAGAGGCTAAAAGTGTTACTTTATAACCTATTTGCAGAAATAAATATCATTTAACATTATTTTTAATCCAAAAATGGAATCGAAAATAATTGTTTTTTTTTTCTCTTTATAAAAATACAATAAGTAAGAGTCTTTAAAAATCTAAGCGGATTATGCCAGACTCATCGTGACCATGAGAATTATTGGGTTAGCGAGACATATATATTTTTTTTAAGGGGGAAAATCATCTAATAGCTTCTACTGACTAAAAACCACCTCGTTCCTTCTCCTGCACGTCGAGCCGGAGCCCCGGTTACCCGTTAGGTTCTCCGCGACTAGCGACAAATATTAGGATCTAATTTATTAGTATTTTAATTGAATAATACCTACCTATGTGGTGGTTTTAGTTGGACAGTTTTACACTACGTAGTGGCTTAAAACACTTTATGTTATGACAATAAACACAAAATGATGATGCAGCAGAATTGGATTCTAACGCTTTTTGTAAAGGTCTACAAAATAAGTTACTATGCCCGCGGGCTATAGCCAGCCAGCCTCATTAATTTATCATTAAAAATCAGGAAATATAGCAAAGCATCGCAACTCAATGTTATAAAACACAATAGTGATGCCCCCTAATATTATTATGATTAATTTATTTTAAGCGGTCGGTTAAAAGAAACCACTTCTGTTCGCCTCATTTAGATAACGATGTTTCAATTTATGATTCTAAAATATCAATTATTTTAAGTTGTCTAATCATTGCGAAATATTATAAACTTTTGACCTATTGATAGCAGTTTCATACGAATAAATAATTGTAATATTACTCAATATTTCTGTGTTTCGTGATTTCAATCGCATTCTGTGAAGATGCGGATTTTACGGTTGCACTGAAGTAATTTGTGATGATTGCCTGCTGGGTAGAAATCTCACCAGGGTAAACTGTGGATCTAGGTATTTCGTTATTAGTTTTTCGAAGTTTCTCAACCACCAAATCGCATGATTAATGTCAAAATCTTTGAATTTTGCTTAAAAACTTTAGAATTCTTACCTAAGCCCAAATTATGTCGTGGTGTACAAGAGAAACCCTCTGTTACCCTCTACCCATACCTAATTTTACTCTTAAATTAATTGACCTACAACTACTATTTGCCATTCCAGAAATGAAAATGAACTTATGTCAACATAAAAGTAAATAACCTCTGGACAGAATAAATAATGCAGTTTAACTTTATGTAACTTTAAAGAATAAAAATGTACCTTGCTCCAAAATATTTAAGTTTAAGTTTAAAAATATAACAAGGCCAGCAATAATCAACATTCATTTTTTTTAAAATGGGCGACTGTTAATATTCTTTTAAAGTAATGTTATATTAGGTATACCTATGGTTGCCTCGTTGGCCGAGTGATCGCAAGTGCGACTGCCGGGCAAAAGGTCTCGGGTTTGATGCCCGGGTCGGGCAAAATATTACTGAGTTTAAAAAAATGTCAGTGGTAACACGAAGTCTGGAATTGTACCCGGTATATGGTAATAGGCTCACCCCCTATTACATGGGACTTATAACATAAATTGTGGAAAGTAGGTGTTACATTTTACAGTGGCATCAAATGTCATAATGTGCACCTCTGCCCACCCTTTCGGGGATAAAAGTTACGGAGATAAATAATGGTATGTTACAAAACGAATACATACTTACGTAGCTACAGGTTTATTGATAAAATATTAAACAACCCCGTACCACTGTGTTAGGTTGACTTCATAAAGAGAAATTTAAGAAATGTGTATCAAGTATGTCTATCAAGCTTACCTGGGTGGTACAGGCCTAGTACTAGGCGGCCTCGTGGTAGTGCTGGGTCTCGTAGTGGCCTGAGTCATCGGTCTCGGAGTAATACCCGCTGACGACGGACTGCCCATCATCAGCTCGCCGTCGTCACCAAACCTGGAATGGGTAATATTGAAAAGTGAGTTAAAATGTGTACGAAAAGAGTCTGAATTTCATCAAAATATAAGTCATCATAAACTAAATATATAGGTAATCAACTTTCATTAATCATTTTTCTTTAAAATTCTTAATTAGTTCGTCGTAAATTCTTAACGTAAAATCGTTATAGACATTGCGAGAAATGTAGGGTTCTTTAATTTGAAATTACCGAATTCAAACCTCTATAAACTAGCTAATATATGCTTGCTCTGTAATATAATGAGATAGATTGACATCGACAGTCGTTTTTGTAAACACTCGACCATTGAGACAGTTAATCTCAATAGCCATGAAAACATGATAGTTAGTTAACTGGTGCATGATGTCAAGTATCTATCCAGTACCTACAGGTAAAGAAAGGTAATGATGTGTATAATCCTTACTATCCTTACTAATCCTTACTATTATAAATGCTTTCACGCCGTAACTTCTAAACCGATTGCTTTGAATTTGCAGACGTAAAATTAGAAGTCCAGATTAAATAATAGGGTACTTTTTATCCCGGAAAAATAAAGTCCGAGGGAAAACAAAAATATTAGTATAGTTGGCGCTGTAAGTATACTTATAGGTGGCGCTGCATGCCATTTTAAAATTCGCAAGTTCTTGCGATGCGATGGGTAGAGGAAGCTCGCACATTTTTGCGATGCGACGTTGCATCGCAGTTTTGTTTACGAGCCCTAAAGGGGAAAGATTTGATTGCATATTTGCATAGAGTAGGCTCTGAAACTACTAGACCGATTTAAAAAAAAATCCCATGGATAGTTTTCTTTTCAGGGAATAGCATAGACTTATTTTTATCTCAATACATATATTGTTAGAGGTTCGTAACTTACTCAAGAAAAGTTTGACTTTTTTCGGGTCAAGTCGTAGCTGCAATGTTAGTATACTGTACTTATAATTGAGTTGGCCACATATGTAAGTAGGCCTCCTCAAAATAAGATACTTTCGTTCAAAACTCTTGAGATGGCGAAAAGGTAATTTGTAAGTAAACACTGATATCTGGGGCGTGTTTTAACTGTAAATAATACCCGTAATTTATTTTGCATGTATGTAGATAGTATTTTTGAAGGTTAAGAGTCAAAACTATTTATTTGAATGCATAAATTAAGTGTTCCATACGTTGGCACTGTTTAACTGGAAGTAAGCCATGGTGCTTTAAACTGTCAAACACCAAGCGGTCACCGGTGACCGCAACCTATTGTTCTATAATTGTGTCTATAATGACGGTACTCGACGAGTTAAGTAGTAAAAAAGGTGCGTATCCCTGCATACCTAATTCTAGATAAATATGGAATAGTCTGCCACTAATTTTATTGTTTATTATAAGAAAATAAAGTTTCCAATAAAGACATTCACGAAAAAACTAAATCATTTAACCTCGCGTCGTTCTTTCATTCATAGGCCATTCAGAAATGGTAAACAGCCTTATGACCATGTGCAGTCCTTTCTTAGGTGCTTAATGCATATTAGCTCAAATGCCGTTACGAATTAGGTGCCTGTCTTATTTATTGTTAATCGCCATTATGAGTGTATTGGCTTGTATACAGTTTTTAGAATTATTCAAGGTTTTGTATATTAGCATGTGCTTTCGTCTTTTAGGTCATTGTTGTCGTTTAATTCAGGGTGATTTTTACGTTACCTTCATTTTTTTTGAATCAGCAGCCCGAGCCGTACATTGCTAGACTACCACTAGGTTTAGTTTAATTTTTACCCATTTAGATTTCCACTACCTAAATGGGTTAAAAGTTGTATGAATTTAAAAAAGTTCATAATTATCTGTCAGTGAGCAAAGTAGCCCAATGTGTTGAGTCCCAGTTAATGGCCCGGTCACTTATATCAAGTGTATCCCTCAGTCAGCTTTTACCACACTTGCGGGAAGAGCAGGATTGCTGATAAACTAATTCTACGTACCTATACGGCTATGCCAAGGATAGGTAAACAAAAATACTAAGTTTGTTGTCTTAGTATAAGTACGAGGAAAACCAAGTCATCTGATTTACGTGATTCTCTAACAATTTAGATTTATGGCATTCGTTAAATTTGTCGAGGTCAGGTTGCTGGCAAGATCTTGATGCATCCGTTGATAAACGCAAATCCAAGACGAAATTACCTATTACTTCGGATAGACTATAATGACGGTATAGAGAAACTGAAAAACAATGTCTATCTATGTAACTCTCTCTACTTATCTCTACAAACAAGTTGTAATCAATCTTAATCCGTAAACATGGGAATATAATAGTTGCTACGCGTATTGTTAAAGAAGATTAGTCTTACAACGAATGGTATTATCATAGAATTACTAGAAACGAAGGTAAGTATGTAATTGTAGGGCTCATGCCATTGTAAATTGAAGATAATATATAGCTGTATCGCGTTTAGTTTTCAATTATTGCATTAATAACGTCAATGACAGTGTTATTAGTATGTTAAAGTTACGAGGTGTTCTATAATATGTTGTTTGTTTTGAATTAACACACTATATTATAGCGTTTTTTATTTAGATTAAGATTAGGCAGAAGTGCAAGTCATAAATATAACGCTTACTTTCCTTCCGTCCATTTGAAAATCACGAACTGATTCCCACATAAAATCTTGTCAGTGTTTGGCAACATATTCCATCTGCGGGCATTAAATATACGAACAGAATTTAATAGAATCAATACATTCTATCTTTTTTTTTTGAGAAAAAATCCACAAAATCTAACAATAATATCATTCTAGTCTAAAAAGACTAGTTTAAAAATTTAACGGTCCATCAAGAGGGACTAATCGAATCGATTCAATCAAAAAAATCACTAGACAGTACCGTAGTAAATCGATTATCATTAAACGATTACAACACATGTTACCGATTGTTACCGAGCAATTAATTCTGCAATGGCTGAATCAGGTCCAGAGTGAACCAGTCCATTGTAAACCGTGTTTAGAGTTAGCGAAACATCGATTGTATTATTTGTGAACACGCGAACTGAGATTTGAATAACACTAGTGATGTAACTTGCCATAATAGTTGTGAACCTAAAATAAGACTTAATGACGAGGGAGGTTAATTATTTAATAATATAAACGACCAGTTTTTAAGAACTTCCCTAAGTTTTTAATATTATAAGATTTTTAAGATTTTAAGAAAAAAAATAAGGTTTTAAGAAGTTTTTAAGAAAAAAGAAATAAAAAAAAAAGTAATCGTATTACGGCATTGACTCAATGTAAAGTACTTAGCATTATAGTATATCTAAAGTAGTATAGTATATCTAAAGATCGTGGTCAGCTTCAGGATTTGATCTGGAGCACATGATCAGCTTCCACCAGCCTCTATTTAGACCGTGTCTTTTAGTTTCAAATAGAATTGAAAGGTCAATGACTCTTTCAATTGATTGGCCCGTCCTGATGGTGACAGACTGGGGTTAAAAGTCTATTTATCGATGGGAATAATCGGATAGAGATAAAAAAAATATTCTGGCATGGCAAAGAAATCCGTCAATTGAATAGTTTCTTCACATATCTTGCTAAAGCCAATGATCGGACCGTAATAAAATAATAGGTAACGACACAGTAATCTACACACCACACGTAATCTAGATCCTATTATATTATTAGTTCCATAAAGATTTTATTTTTTATATCCGTGTTATATAACATTATTACCTATTATCTAGGTTATGTGGTCTAAATTTGAAATACTTGTATGATTGATGACGATCTTGTTAATAATCAAATTGGTCCGTATCGGATTATCTGTGATATTACTTGCAAGTGTTACAGGTAAGTAGCTTTCTTTGGAGAAGAGGAAACATTTAATTTAAGTTAGAACAATTCTTTTCACTATTCTGACGGGATTTGCTGTGGCTTAATTAACTTAATTTGTTTCGTTTAATTACTTTAACAAATTAACTACCCAAAGGAGGTGTACAATGTGGAATGTATCATTAAAATTTTGAGGAGATTGATCGCCTGATGATTAGCGATTAGCGATGAGAGAGACGGAATAAGCCCGCCACAACCTCCCAAAACAGCTGCAACTCTTGTAAGCCAGGGTCTACAGTAGATACAACTATGAACACACCGGTACAATGAAGTCCGGCACTTCCCAGGGACATGAATAACTGTCTTGGATCCCGTAATGAAATCAATCAGAAGATATTAATAGGGGAGAAGAAAAATACTATAATTCCAGTAAATCAGAGGGATACCCGATCTTTATAGGTAAATGAACCTCACCTGTTCAGTACAATAGGCCTCGGTGGGGTAGGCTCCGTGGGGCCTGGAGTCGGGTTGGTAGCTGGTGGTGATTGTGGTACACGTGGTGGTGCTAACGGCGATGACGTGGGGAGTGCACTGCCTGTGGGAGAGAAAAACGCAGTATGTTTTATTAAAAAACATAAGTAAGTACTTCAAACTGACAAAGTTTCATGAATAATTGTGAATTCAATTTTATAACTAACTATTTTTTGTATTTTATACTTTTAATAATTTAATAATGAAACGAAAGTAAAAAAACAAAAGAAAACAACAAAAATGAGACCCTCAATTTAGGCATCAATGTACTCGACCGCGTCACTGGGGAACGTTCCCAGAAGACTGGCAGCATTGCCATTGTTTAAAATTAATAATAGTACTAAAAATCTACTGATCCCATCCGTATCTACATTACGCAATGGGTCAGAAATATATTTTGTAATTAATTAATTTTTCATTTAACCGTTGGTATAATGGTTGTTTACTGATTGCGTTGGTAGAAATACATAGTCGAACAAAACAATACAAACTTTACGACGAACGACCAATAATTAACTGCAATTGTCGGTTGCTAATCAATGAACAATAACATTGAAACATTTGATACCTGATCCTGGGATGGTGTTATAATGTTCTTTAGCGAGGAATTCTTCGAAGTATCTGGTGAAGTCCCCAGTGGGGTCCCACCGGGAAGCAAGCTTGGACCATTCGTCAGGATACTCGTTCTTCAGCCGTTTGATCACCTTCACTGCTGTTCTCTTCTGTCGCTCTGTGCAGCGGACACATTTCGTCCTCAACGCTTCTGGGAGTATTCCTGGAAATAACAATATGGTATTGTGATAATGCAAATGATTTTAAAATGGTATAAAGGGCCTCATTGGACATTGTATTCACTGCTAGACTGGAAGTACCAACTTACTATTTTAAGTACATTTTTACAGTCCTCATAAAATCGAAAATGCATTAAACAGATAAGATAAAATATATCGGTTAAAAATAGGACAGAACCGACGTGCTAAAAGATCAAAGAACTAATAAACCGGACAAGAATAAATGGGCCAAAACCAACTTGGTCTTCTTTAATGATCAAAAAATGACCGAGTTCTTGGCATTCAATGCTGTTCCATAAGTACAAAGAAAAAATACAATGTTGACAATGCTGTTCCTACAAATAATGGAACAGGTTGTTAATGACATTGCATGGATGCCCTTCACTTTGCACCAGATAAGTACCAGATACCAACGGTACTTTAAACATGTCCTAGATTTTCGAATGTTAGTTACCTCAAGGTTCCCTGGTACCGTTATATTTTACGTACTTACTGCAGCTTTTACTTTGTTACAAACGTGGAAAATAAATTAATTAAGGACACGTTTACTTTAATTAAGATTGTTTAAAGAATTTGTTACTATACGCATGAGTTTTTTAAGCTATTTTGTATAAGGTTTAACTTGGTACACGTGACGTGACTAACAATATCTCTAATGATAACAAAGTGAATTTGGGCATAAATACGTGCATTCGTACTATACACACCCATTAGCAGAGATAAAAGCACGCCATGTCTTTTATTTAGCACAAATCAGGCCCAGCTTTTTCTAAAGCAGCCAGGACATAAAGAAAAACAAAAGATAATTGGAAAAAGAACATGGCAAAAGGAGTGTGGACCCCCTTTGCCCTTTTAATACTTCAATATGGCAGAATCGTGTTCTGTCATCAACTCCTGCCAATCATATCCAAATTTAATCAATTTTACGAGTACATGATCATTACTCTTTTTTTCTTTTTTAACAGTGATGCATTGATTTTATCACTCAGCATTCCAATCTTTTTTTAGCTCAAATTGGATGCAAAAATTGACTACGTTCAAACAGGTTTTTATTATTTATCATC